GATAGCGGTCGTAGATTATTGGCGGCGCGGTTGTAACTTGACTGTGCGGATGGTTCCGCCTACTCCTCCTGACATAAGGGATTTGTCGCCGTTTCTAATTAACGTACTAGCGCGCATTATTATCGAAGAATAAAATATATATATGTTTCGTTAGAAACGCATATAAGTATGTATATATGTTTGTTTTTATATGGATGAACCGGAAAGAATGGCAGGGCGACTTACTGATTAGCTGATGAGTCCACGAGATCTCGGGTAGCTATCGGTTGAAATGAACGAGGAAGCCTGCTATCCACAGAAGAGCGCCAGAAGGGCAGTCGCAGGCGAATGGGTGATTCCAATGATGATCACAATTTATCTTTTTTTTCTTTGCACTTGCGTAAAAAACGCGAACTGGCTTGACTATCGCGGGTTCTCGTAGCCTGATTTCCGTAATGACCGCAGTTGATGCCAACAGTGATTTGATGCACTCGAGTACAGATACTGTAGCGAATTTACATGGTTTTTCACTGACGTGAACTGTACTAACGTGAACCGAGTGAGTTTGACTTTTGTACTGACGCTCTGCGCTTCCGCGGGACCTCTATTTATACCCCGAAAAAAGGGCGTTGTGCCTTTTGTCTAGAATGCAATAGTTAGTTGCAATGTCATGCGAGATTTATGATTTTTATAGCGTCCTATCATTGTTAATCTAAAGTGCATCGTTAGAGAAATTTCGAAAAGAAAAGAAGTAATTTACGTTTTTCTTTAAAGAGGCAAGATTGCTCCAAACGGATGACGAATTCTGTTATTCTCGCGGAAAATATGGCTAGGTAAACAAATGATTACTGTGCGCAACTAGTTTTACGTGCAGGGCAACCATTGTCAGTCGCGAGTCTGATCTTAGATAATGTTACCGTGGAAAGTTATCCTATGCGTTTTATGATTTTTTAAGCGCGATGTGACGCCTGTTTGAAATTGGTCAGTCTGGGACTACAAAGCTTGGATTTTTACTATTGTGTGACTTCGATGTATTTATAATGTCTTTTGCAATCTTGTCACTTTTCGGACCTGCATTAAGGGTGTTATTCTTTCTGGATTGATTGACGTTTACGAGTTTTCGCGGAGCTTGTCCGGTCCCTCTTTTCAGTTCTGTCAGAACGAGTCTCGCAGACGCCAACCATAGTCGTGTGGAGCCAAAGAAAAGAATCGTCTGTAGGACATAACAACAGCAAGGGCATGACCGTGGAAAACTACAGCGGATCTACCTCTCCTCCACGAAGAATGAAACCCCTGAGGATCTTCTTGGCACTTCGGGAAGCAAGGCTCCACAGGTTTATATCATCCACGTTTCTGTGGGAGATACCAGTATTGAGATACCTCCACAATCACTTAAATGCCATATCACCAAGACCATCCAAATGGAGCCACGAAATGACTCGAGGCACGCAGTACTGAAGCCGTATTGACTACACTCTCGAGACGAGAGAAGGTCATTTGATTGACAGCAACGTCAACGTCGCCGATAGCGACTGACATTCGTCGCTGTTCTTTTCAAGACTCATCAAACTTAGAATATTAATCGCAAAGCCAACTCTTGACGTCTTAGCATATACGTTCAATGAATTTTAAAATCGGAAAATTGCTTCGATCAAATTCAATAGAATACTATATCGGGTTTCCTAGCATACATATACGTTCAATGGATTTTAAACGATAGATCTTCTCGGCTAAGTTCAATAGTTTCACACAAGTGATGTTCAATGAGTTTTAATAGAAAGTTGCTTCGAATTCAATAGGATATTATTGATTTTCGTAACATATAATGGGTTTTAAACGCGTATAAAAGAAATAATTAAATTTTAACGATAAAAATGAATTCCCGATTCAAACTGATAGAATCCTATTAAAACATATTTCCAATTAAAACTCATTAAACATGTATCATGTGAAAACAATTTAATCATCTTTTAGTCGTCTTTTAGTCATTTTTTAGTCATTTTTTAGATAACTCTGTGCTCTTTAGTGAGCTTATTATTTATGTTTTTTTCTATCACATACAAAATAATAAAAATAAACAGTCTAATTATAGAAGTGGTTATTGCAGCAATATTTCGCAAAATTTATGCGATATTGCAATCTTGTAATAAAATATTTTTTTTGCAATGCTTTGTATGTTTGTAGTTTCCACGGTCGTGCTTTTGCTGTAATTCCTCCCAGGAGTGGTCGGTTGACTGTTACTGTCGCGCTTTGCGGTAACTTTTTTATGGCGCGCGCGCTGTATAAAGTTAGTTACTTAAACACATAACTTAATAAACTTATTTGTTAAACAAGTTAGAATTCGAAACCAAACGATTATTTTGTTTCGGACTATTCATCATTTATCAATCGCTCCAAAACCTTTTCCGAGTTACACACGTGTTTAAGTAATAATAAGTATCTAATAAATTTAAATAATTTGAATAATCCTTATTCTTTAAATTCCCAATATGTTTTGATATCTTGCACTTAACAACTTTTTATCAATAAATATGATAACATTAGCTTTATTGTATTTGATATCACAATTTTTCTTTTATGTTCCCTTTTTCTCAAGATAATATAATGACTTTTTTTAAGTAGCTCTAATGCTCTAATATTCACGCGTCAATCCCAACATACACGAACACACACATACATACTAACTCATACATACATGCATACATACATACGCACGTATATATATATATATATATATATATATAATGCGCAAAATCCGAGTAGCAACATTTTGGTGCGCATTGGTTGTGGAGGTAATTAAACAAAAATACATAGGGTGAATAGATAAAGTCTATTCTACTAGTTGTAATAATGATTGTAGTTGTAAGAATTGACAAATCACAGTCAAATATTCTTCTCTTTAGCTGTAATTAGTGAATTTTTATAACTACAATCATTTGTCACAACTACGCTTATATTGTACAATTGTAGAATAGGCTTAACTTAATTAATATTTCGCAATAAAAAAATCGTACAGAGCTTTACTTTTTCAATTAGCTAGAAAAAAATTCCTTTACATATGATGAGTATCATGACATTTACGAAAAAAATTTATTGTATCCCATAGAGTGCATCAAACTATACAATTTTTTGGAGATATAATACAATTTACTTTTTTATTGTAAATACGACTTTTTTTATGAGGTTATATTTACCTGAAATTATAATATACAAAATTTTGGTATAAATTTATGTCGCGATAATTTTATTGACGAGTGTATTTAATTATATAGAAGCACCTTAATGATGTTGTAAGCAATCTATATTTTCAAATTCTAAAACGTAGTTCGCAAATACTGACGCAGAATCTGACATGATAGTATCCTGGCGCTATCATGATCATCATATGCAAGATATACGCAGATGAAAACCAACCGCACACAATGAGAAAACAAATGTACATTTTCATTCTGCGTTTGTGTTTGCGAACTATGTTTTGCGATTTGCGAATTGTGTAGAGGCATCTTTATGAACAGATTTTGACATTGATTTAATTTGACGAAGATTTCGATAATATTGATATTTTAATGTAAGAAATATCGTTACAAATGTTGTGCTAATATTGAATCAATATTTTAAATCATTGAATTATACATTGCGACATATAAATTTAACATCGAAAAAAACATTGCAAAAACGGTCCGTTGAAGTAATCTTTTGCAGATGTTGCAATACAATATTCAGGAATGTTGATTCAACATTTATTCAGCATCATATAAACTTCCAAGAATATTATATTAGGTTTCTGAATTAGTTTTTGTGTAAAACTAAACGGTAATATGTTCAAATACTTGTATATTTCATTTACTTTCATCTTGGAGCCTTAGGGGCTCCTCACTTAGAAATACTTTTGTTTTGTATAGTTAAAGAAATCTTATAATACTGCGTCTTTTATTCCATTTCTATAACACTTTTTTAAAAGAAATATTACTCTGTTGCGTTTAGTAGCGGTACTGCTCCAGAGCTTTAATGTTAATTGTTGTTGCAACATGATAAGCAACATCAACAATCAATATGGAAAAATTAATATTTAACGTTAAAAAAAACATTTACATTTAACATTTAATTATTTTTTCGACGTTTTGTGCTGTATTTATAAAATATTTGGAAAAATATTAAAATATTTTTACATTTTTTAAATGTAGGAAATATTATTGTTATATATATGTGTGTGTGTGTGTGTGTGTGTGTGTGTGTGTGTGTGTGTGTGTATAAAACAGATAATATTTTATGACATTTATAAAATATTATATGAGAACATTGATAAAATGCATATAAAATCAGTATTTCAAAATGGTTTGGTAATTAGTTGTTAATGTAATTAGTTGTTTCTCACTTTGTTACTTTTTGCTGGAATCGCACTATTTCTTTAGATTTTTCTTTATTTTTTTAAAGAATACTTTTTTGCATCGCGCGAAGTTAAATATTTCTGTTTAATAACATTGATATTCCTAATTTAAATGTAAACTTCAAAGTTGATTTTTATTTTCATTTTTCTATTACATTTCCATACACTTATATCATTAATACTATTTATTTATTTTTATTTTGTTTGATTAATATATTTTTCTCTTTCTTTCGAATTATCATCTCGTAGCGAACTGTACTCTGACATCGAGCCGATGCTGTTGGCTTTTTACGCCGACGCCATCGACACTGCCGACGCCGACGCCGACGCCGACGCCGACGCTGACGCCGACGCTGACGCCGACGCCGACACCGATTCCAATGCCGACGCAGTGTTCATGGTTTCGGGTCGACGTAGTCTGAAGCTCGGCGTCTTTGGACATAAGGGAGCTAAAACGAGTCGAAGCCTTCAGAGTTTTTCAAATCATTATTTTCGTTATATTGTCATCGTATTCTTTAACTTGATCGCAGAAACAATATTAAAATTAAACGCAGCAAAGAAAAAGGAGTGAAAAAAGAAAGAGAGAAGTGCAACTCATTAATAAAGAGAAATAAACAGAGGCAGAAAAGAGAAAATAATCAAAAATCGAGAGAGAGAGAGAGAGAGAGAGAGAGAAAAATCTAAAAAGAGAGAAATTTAAAGAACATCCTTGCAAGGTATTTTTCGAAAGAAGAAAGGCATCGAAAAAAGAAGGGGTGATAGTTGGTAAGATGTATGTGTGTGTGTGTGTGTGTGTGTGTGTGTGTGGGGGGAAGAAAAAAAAAAAAAAGAGAGAGAGAGAGAGAGAGAGAGAGAGAGAGAGAGAGAGAGGCAAAACTCGAAATTGAAAAGTTTGTAATTTGTGGCTGCTGCGGTTAGGTAGGATGCGTGTACTTGGGTGCGGCGTCTCGTCACCACCCGACAAACGACAGTTTAGTAGTGTCAACAGCATCCGTAATACCATCGCTAACGGCAAACTTGTCTGTGCTGAGAACGACAGTCCTGCGGAAATATTTCTTGAGAGCGCGAGAGATAGTGAGAGAATCGTTAAAGACAGCGAATTCTTACAGAGCTTGAGAACTCAGTACGATTGCATTACCACCATCACCATCGTCACTGTATCGTCTGGAACTTCCTCGATATCTCGCGAGAGAAGAAAGTTTCTTCAATCCACGTGCTTCACCTTTGACAACTCGCGACAGCAATCGTATAACTATACATTGAGAAGAGCGCGATCCCTGTCATTCGGACGGATCATCGAAAACAGAGAAATTCAAATTTTGTCTGGTTCCAGGCTTAGTTTGGACAATTAGTCCAAACTAATTGTAAGTTTATATTCGTTATAGTAATCATGAATTTCATTGAATTTGGGTGTTAAAACGCTGAGTCAAACATTGGCGGCAAGTTGAATCAATTCCAGCCTGAAGAGTTCAGACAACGTTCAGTCTACTCATGTTCATCCCGGACACTCTGAGGAGCTGCATGGTGGAACCGGATATTTCAACTTACCTACAAGCTCCTTCCGTCGGACAGGTGCTTAGTTTTTCGAAATATTTTATATTTGTTAATCGCGTAAAAATAATTCGATTTTGCTATTTCGTGCATGTGTATTTGTCAAAGTTCCCTGCATTTGCTTCACTAATTGAGTTTTTAAATATCAATAGCAAGATATTGTTCTTAGTTAAACTGGTAGTTTATAGTTAGAATTTATAGTTAGAAATAATATCTATAATTTCTTACATCGAAGGAAAGCATCGTAAAGTGATTATGTGAGTATACTTTAAACGCGTGTGTTTTGGTGTTCCGTTCTTATTTATTTAACTGATTCCTCCTATCTTGCAATATATTTTATGATATACTGAGAAAAATGTTTGATTGAAAATGGACAAACCAGAAGATTCTGATATTCAATCAAAATTGCAATTATTTCAACTTAGCCTAATGAGAAAATTTTCTGGTTAGATCTACTAACATTATAATTGAGATAATCGGAATTTTGATTGAATCATCTGATTTAATCAGAATTTTTTGATTTGTCTATTTTTAACCAAATATTTTATTCAGTGTACACACGTAATTTTTTACGATTTAATTCCAATTACAATCTCCGCATATTATGATTAATTTGAGCGACATAAACTTTATATGTACATACAAATATATTTTATATATTTATATATAAGTATACACGCACCATGCACATACGTGCGCGCGTGTACGTTTGTATGCGTGTGTATACATACACTATCAACTTCGTAGAAAATTCGCAAGAGATAAAAATCATTAATTTTCTTCTCATAGCACTCTAAGAATTTTTAAAAAATTTTTTATCAATTTTTTAGTACTGCAGTTTCTTATTTTTACCACCATAAGAAAATAAAAAATTCTAAAAAAAATTTGAAAATATTCTCAGAACTTTATAAGAAGAAAGTAAACATTTTTTTATCTCTTGCTGTTTTTTTTGTAAAGTTGATAGTATTCAAATAAAAAATTATTGAAAATCAATATTTAGCGATTTTTAGCAATTAATATCTCATTAACCATTGCGAAAATTGTAAAATGGTACAGGACTTTTCGACTCAGTCTAGTTTAGTTTATCATTTTACCTGTTCAGGATAGATGATGCCAAATTTTAGGGACCCTGTATATATTGAAATGCAAATTTCTCTGAAATTTAACTAATCAGCTGAATCTCGTTGTTTGATAAAAAAAAACATTTTAAAGTAAAAAGGAAAAAGAAGTATGATTACTAACGGGAATACAGAATTGCTTGATGTCACGTTGCATCGCGTCGCATCATTTCGAGGGCAAATCTAGTAAGCTAGGACAGGGGCTATTAATAACTGTTTAGGATACCGTACCTGGCTGCCGAGCGCGCGGTACCGTCCGCGTCTCGACGACCGGCGTCTCAGTGTCGTCGCGACGACCGACGTTACATTCGTCGTTCCGTCAGGTCGTATACTAGTTCGTGGAATTCGAAAGTCCTTCCACGTAATTGCGATCGACTTGTTTTTAATAGCCGAAGTGTTGATTCGAGTTCAAAAAAAAAAGTTATTTCGTTATCTCCAACTAGATTTTATCGTATCAAAACTGAGGCACTTTAAAACTTATTCATCTAGTTACGCTTCGTCGTGATATTTTAACGCCGAAATAGTGTAGTGCAACGTACTTCTCGAAAGAATATGAGAAGATTATACTATGCTCTTCATATAGTGCCAGATGCTTGACTGATACGAATTCTTGTTATTTGAATCTGAGTGGATATATCAATGTGTTAATTGTATATACGTTTAGTTTCATTGATTGTTCGTTGTTATATTTTTTATGCCGATCGTTTCATTTTTGTCATACACTTTCCTATCGAATCGATACTCTCAACGCGTTATTTACCGTAGAGACATTGTGTAAACGATTTTCGAGGTTTCGTTACACACACACACACACACACACACACACACACACACACACACCACATATCACTTGCTGTTTATTACGTTTAGACAGAGATTTTTTGTTTTTATGATTTTTACAACCTGAAAAATTAACCTGATATTTTGGAATGTCAATTGTGATTCGTGAATTTTTTTGAACAAGTTTGCGCCACGCAATATTGCGGGAGTAAAGACAGAAGAGAAGAAGGAGAAGGAGAAGAAGGAGGAGGAGAAAACGGTGGTGGCGGAAGAGAAGAAGGAGGAGAAGGTGAAGGACTCTAATTTGAGTTCGCAAATCGCTCGTACCTGACAATGGTACGTTTTCCGTGTGACCATCGTTTTCCGGGAGTGATTCACTTTGCGCTTCTTTTCGCTTGGCTGTTCATCGATTTTTGGCATGAATTTTTTCGCTTAAGGAGTAACTTAGAGTAACAAAAAAGAGATAGATGAAATAAAAAAAAAAGAAAAAAAAAGACAAGAGGACGCGTTGGAATTGTTTCCTTTAGCTTTTTCGTTTGTATATATAATTTCCTTAAATATATTCTAAAATTTGGCGCGTGAAAATTTCTTCCCGGTTTTTTAATCCTAACAGTAGTAATAACGAGATTGTTTTATGTTTCTGATTTTTATCTGTTTTTGAAAATAAGTAACAATATTACATAGCAAATGAATGTGCATATAAATACGCCATCGTACGTTTGTAAACCGTCCGTGAATGACGGTCTCATCTCTCAGAGTTGAGTTTATTTTTCATTATTTTATTCGTATGTTCATTTTTTTTGTTTACTTATTCATCCTCTTGTCTGATAATGGAACATGTTTGACAGGCATTTATCCATTATTTGATGAGACGTCAAAAAAAAAGCGCGAATCATAGATGTATCTCTTCTCCTTCGATTTTTTCCTTTCTTTTTATTGTCAAATATCTTAAGAATCAGACAAGATTCTCAAGATTCAAGCTAGAACTTTCGATGTCTTAAAATTTAAAGTATGGCAAGTTTAGAAAAGCTCTTTCAAACAAAACTGTAAAATTTAATAATGATGATTTGAGATTTTGTTTGAGAAAGGAACATTGTCCCGCTTTTAATGTTAGACACGTTGCTTCAAGAAGACAATCGTTTAACAAATATCAAAATGACTCTACATATGCGGTAACAATGGTCAGTAAAAGTTATGCGTGATATTATTGTACGAATTATTCAGAAAATGTAGAATATATGAACATAACGGCGTTTACAAAGATGATTCTTCGACGGTGTAAGATTTTTGGTCAAAAGTGCGGATAAATATGTTTGTCAAATAATTGGAAAATGCATAAGGAGGAAGAAGAGTGCGCGAGCGCGAAGAAGTTTTAGAGTTCAAAGGATTTTTGACTGTTGATTCTTGTGTGCTCAGCTGATTGCGTGGAAGATTTAAAGTTATAAGGAAGTTCGATCACTTCTTCTCGAGAATAGATCGGTACTGATGACAGCTGTGAGCAATTCGCAACTGAGCCGTAGAGGAGTTTTGGGATTTTCGCAATCATTACCCCGAGGATCCTTGTTTCTAATAACTGGACACTGACAGGAGGGACGGACAGACGGTAGTGTTACAGCGGCTACAGTGTTTGTGAATACTCGATGGTTTGTGTATGATGGTTTGTTTTTAGTAGTAATGTTTGTAAATATTCAAGATATATAGATTCATGATATATAGATAATAATGAAAAGATTCTATCGATAGAATCTTTATTATAAATATGAGAAAGGGGGGAGGGAGGAAGGGAGAGAGAGAGAGAGAGAGAGAGAGAGAGAGAGAGAGAGAGAGGAACTATTGAATTAAATCATTACTATTGAGGAAATTTTCCAGTGTCTTCAGATAACATAAGAATTTAATCAAATATTAAAAATAGAATTTTTTTCATTTATTAATCGTGTAGATTTCTATAAATAATTTAACATTTTAAGTAATTTAACTTTTAAGTAATTCAATTGTAAGCAAGGTATAAAAATTTTGAAGTGTCATATAGATATAAAAGAAAAGAGTTTAGAGAACATCTTGAAATTCAAAAAATAAAGTTTCACTATATCATTTTCGTGAAGAGTAAAATATAAAATGTTCAATTCTCTTTAAATATGATGTCGCACTAGAATTATGACAATGTGGTTTTAATTACGATTATCAATAATTAAATTTAAATAATTATTCTATAAATACAATATTATAAATAAACTTTCTTCAATAATTTCCATATAAACTTTTATTTTTACTATAAAGAATTACAAAATTACAAAAAAATGTTTAATTAATAATAGCATATTATAGTAATAGCATATTATAGTTTTTACTGCTTAAATTTTATTTATTATTTATTTTTTAGAAGGTGGCAGTGACATTTTGAATCTTTTTTGTGCTTTTGTGCTAAGATAAAAAATTACATGCTCCTTTTCCATTTTTAAACTAGGGAACTTCCTTAAGTATCCAATCATCAAGTATCATCAGTATTCATCAAGTGTCAAATACTTTAATATGTCTGATATTAAGTGACTTGTACTAAATTTTATTTACACATGTAAAAGAAACTATAAATTAAGCGAATAAGAAATAAAATATTATAAATAAAATAAGAAATTTATAAAAGAATGATTAAATGAAATAAATGAAGAAAAAAGGATAAAGAGGGATAAAAAAATTTCTTATGTATATATATATATATATATACATAGAAATTCCATATTATAAAATATACATAAGTATAGATATCAGCCTGCTGCTCGCACTGATGAAGTGAACTTCAAATGAACACATTCATGAAACTTAGCATTCCAAGAATGGATATGAATATATAGACAACTCGCGAAACACATTGCTTCTATATAGAAAGTACCCATGGAAATCTCAAAAGTATTGTACGTAAATTGTCATAAATTATTCCATTATTGCATTATATGAGTCTCAGTTTATGTGAGTCAGTTTTTTGAATATTTATTAATTTGTATAACTTCATTATTGCTATCTATCACTTCAATTTTTTTCCGCTATTTATCTTTGCTTTGCTATTGATTAAACTTTTTTTTTGATAAAGTTAAGGGAAGCATATTATTCTTTAAAACGTATCACTAAATGATATACTTTTTTAAAATCACAAGTAAGTGATTTTTTTTAATAACTTATTTTTCTATCAACTTTAGCTAACTAAAAACTTTAAAGAATTATATAGGGAGATTATATTCATTAAAAGATACAATGATAGATCTCACATTATCTTTATTATATAACGAGATAAATAACATATATTTACCTATTTTGTTGATAAACATATTTCAAAATGTATTAAATTAATCTCAATTGAATTAGTTCGGAATGTCATTTGCTCTTGCGTCAATTTTTTTATCGATATCCCCTATTTACAATACTCAATGTTTTTATTGACAGTCGAAAGTTGCATGTGTGCTTGAAAGCGAATTTCAAACTGTGAAATGCAAAAGCTTAATAAACGACATGAATATGTACAATCCTATGAAAAGAATAAATATTATATGTTTGCAGGATGAATTCCATCCATTTATCGAAGCTCTTCTACCATTCGTGAAGTCCTTCTCGTATACATGGTTCAACTTACAAGCTGCCAAAAGGCGATACTATAAGAAACACGAAAAGCGAATGAGTTTAGAAGAAGAACGTCAGTGTAAGGAGGAACTTCAGGTAAGAGATTATTTGAAATCAGTTAATAGGCATTCCTCTTTGATTTTTTTTATATTAATATATATATATATATATATATATATATATATATAAATTAAACTGTGAGGTGAATAAATCGATTCTCGTTTAACATTTAATTCGTGGCAAAGATTGTATGCGTTTAATAATGAATGCGCGCGCGCACTCATTATTAAACGATTATAAATCTTAAAGCTGTATAATATCAGTAAAAGTAAGTGCCAAAAAATTAGCCAAAAAGGTCAATATCAGTAAAAAAATTTTTTAGTTGTAAATACATCTTGACATCAATTACAAAAAACAAAATAAATAATTTGGCTTATAAATAGTTTACGCAGCGCAATAACTACATTTTGTTGCAGTTTTAGATAAATAAATTTTAAACGCGTAAATGGATTCAAATAAACTTTTACATAAATATTTATTATAGTTTTATTAGCAAATATAAAAAATTTGATTCGCAGTGTTATTTCTTCAATAAATTTGCAAATAAGTACTACAAAACGCGATTTTAAGGTTCAAAGAAAACAAAAAAATTAAATAACTTTAAACCTATAAGAGAATTGTATTCAAGTTTTATAAAGATACTTAGACGTAATAATAGAACAATCTATGAAATTTTTATATTTTTGATACTGCTTTGAGATATGACATCCTTAATAAATAGAATCTTTCGATTAATTTTCTTCTCTAACCCATCGTTATTCTCATTCGATGATACCACAACTGGACGTGATATTGTTGCTAATGCTGTTGTTGCTTCTCTTCATCCATCTTCGTTCATGACAGAGTTCGATCAATATTTTAATTTCGCGATGTTGCAGTATTTAGTGGAAGAGTGATCGGCATTAATTAGTGGCACATAAGTGCTCCTTCTTCCTCTATTTTTAGTGTATTCGTCCTATTTCCAAAAACATGTGAAGAATGACACATGCAAGTTCACATTGCTAATTATAAGCAAAAAAATCTACATTTAACAATAAATTCATGAGACGAAATATTTTTTTAGAGTGACCCATCAGATAAAATTTTATCTAAATTACGTTAAATTTGTCTACGTAATTACAATCTGTCTATGAACATGAATGAAAGTAAAAAAATCATCTAATAAACAAAATATAATGCTAAAATGTAGAAATACTGGAATAATGTAGTTTATAGGGTGACATGACTACATTTCAAGAAATCAAAATATATAATTTTGTTTTCTTCTTTTCTTTTAAAATTACTTTTGAAAATGATAAATTAATAGATGATAAATTAATGTATATATATATATATATATATATATATACATATATATATATATATATATATAATTATAAGATAGTTTACAGCTGATCAAGAACTAGTTCTTTTCGATAGAAGGGCGTTCGTTTGCTCCTAAATTTAATTAGATTACTCAGCTGAAACGAGCGAGAGAAATACTTTTGAATTTTGATTGACTCGAGCGACACAGGATTGCAGGATTGTTACGAAACAATTTCTCTTAAGATGAATAATTGTCGAAAAGTAAAGCGAAAAAGTAAGTGAATCGAAAGATATGATAATTTTATGTAACTGTTGATTTAATTTGATTGTTTTGCTAAAAGTGAGATATATATCTTCATATATACGTCATTATTTGATTGCATTGTAACTTTTCAATCGCATAACATTTATATTTTGTAAGCGTAATAATGCACAATATAAATTGCAGAAAAAAATCCGGGAATAAAAGGGACATGGATGGATAATAATGAGAGATACGAGTCGGACTATGCGCGACGCGTTTGTCGTTTAATTTCGAGACAGGCCGCAGTACGATATCGACTACTTCACTTTGGGTGTAGGGCGCTGTGAGGGATTGAGACAAGCAAATAGCATGAGTAAGAGATAGGAAATCAGAGTGAAAGAAAGAGAACATAAATGATAGACGGATAGATGAGGATAAACTAAAGTAGAAGAGAGTACGGTGTAGTGCGGTGCGCCGTTTCCTGGAGCGTCGCTTGCAAGAGGAGAGAAGAGCGTACGTATGCGAGGAGAGTACATGTGTGTGTGTGTGTGTGTGTGTGTGTGTGTGTGTGTGCGCGCGCGCGCGCGTGTGTGTAACTTAGGAAGGGAGTGGTGAATCGAAAGAGTTCTCTCATGCGAAAGGAGTAAAGCGATCGGAAGGATCTAGAGTGAGAGTGAGAGTAAGAATGAGTGAGCGAGCGTGTGCGCGCGAGTGATGTGTGTGCATGTATGTATGTGAAGAGGGTAAAGGGGAGAAGCATCAACATCCATGAGAAGTTCGCTATGTGAATCGCACACCGAGTTTTCGGCAATGGGAATGAGTTGGGAGAGGGTGGGACGGTCTGTCGGTTGGGGTGGTCGAATAATAGTGTTGGAGGACATAGACATGTAGCGCATACGCCGTCGCGACGGAGGCTGTGGCTACGTGGCGCCTACCAACCACCATCTATAATCTCTATGCAGATATCGATTTTCTACTGTATTTCCTAAATTTATGCAAACCAGTAACGCACTACGTTTTCTACCGTACTACTTGTCATTCATATTGTCTCTTTTTCGGCTTGTTAATCGAAAATTATAAGTAACATAATGAATTCGGTTTGATAGATTTTATATTTCGTAATTATCATTCGTCCAAAGGGAATAGTAACGTACCAATCGTCTGCGTTTGTGTTATTGCGAAATTAATCGCTTGAATGAAACAGACTGTTTTTCAACCAAAATTCTTGATAATATATGCTAAAATTAATTTCAATATATTTGTTGTTCTTTACATCGTCCGATTATCTGATGTATTATCGGATAATTTGTATAGGGTAACTGTCCCAATTATTGTGCCTGTTCCTATTAGTGTTGTTTTGTATTTCGATAAGTCATAAAGAAAATTAGCATGAATAAATAAGAAAAAATATTTTTTCTTGTTAAGTTAAATTATTAATGTATACGATATCGAAGATAATATTTTATTTTTTGAATATTACAGTATTTTAAATATTTTTCAAAAGATATGAGGAATTTATATGAATCCAGTAACGTACCGCAAGATTTTAAGCTTGTACCTATTAATGTGCCCTGTATTGGAGCTGAGAACGTTATGTTATGAGTGTACATTGAAATAAATATAATTGAAATAATGATTTATGTAACTTAAACAATTAGCTTAAATTTATTACCTGTTTTAGTAACTATATGTTAAAATGAGTTAAATGTGGATAGGCATATAAAATGGGGGCACATTAGGGCCATCGGCGCATGGAGGACTCACTAATATAGGGACATGTTTTTTATTTTTATCAAAAACATTATGAAGTATTAACATTTTTTAGATTAAAAAAATATTATAAGAAAAAGAAATAGTTAAAAAACAGATATTGATTGCAAGCAGATAAAATTAAAGCTACAATATTTAATAATTACTTCAGTAATGAACAAGTTGGCTAAAAGGCATATTAATACGGAACAGTTACCCTAATTGGGTGTTTTAAGGCATTTTGTTATTTGGCCGGTAATTAGAAGGTTTCAAATATTAGGTGTTGGAATTAATTCGTAGCGTTTTACAAGTGATGGGAAGTACTTTCATTAATGTATTTTTTAATGCTCATGTGAAATAAATAACATTCTTTCATTAAAAAACGCTACGAATTAATTCCAACACCTAATAAATAAATAAAAAGTGGTATATACAGATATTGATAACAAAGACATATACCACATGTTGGATTTTCATAGCAAAAATTCATATATATTTAAAATCTTGATATAAAATTTTACATAAACGTTTTGGCCAAAATTTGGCCATCTTCAATATGCCACTAATGAATCATAAATATAAAAAAACTCTCTCTCTGTATAAAAGTCAATTAACATAACGCATATTTATGAAATTAAAAAAATGTCAATAATATATATTAAATATGTCAAAGATACACGTTAGTAAGAGTTTTAAAGTGAATGAATCTCTTCAATATTATTATTGTTTTTTTATTATATTTATGACTTTCTTTATATTTATAAATTTTTTAATTATATTTATAACTTATTAACACACTTATGACACACTGAAAATGACTAAATTTTGACCGAAACGTTTATGTAAAATTTGATATTATTAACTGAAGCTTTTAAATATATAACTTTTAGCTACGGAAATTCAGCGTGTAGTGTATGCTCTTATTATCATCATTGTTTACAATGTTTCAATAAAATAACTTCGTGTTTTAGTATCACAAAAAATTCTTTTATGCATTCTATTCGTTTTAACTTCATATAATATGTTAAACGTAAACGAGACGATCCTCTCTTGTAGAGTTTGCTATTATATATAATATTAAGAATCTTTATTTAGACCGTGAGAAACACAATCAATACTAAAATTTAAAAATGCCTATTATGATCGAAACTTGATCTTCATTGCTTTTAAATAATTCAATCTTGAATTACTAATTTATACTATATGTATACTTGCATATATGTTTGCTATCATATTGTAGACTTTTTGAACTGCTGAATTGTTTTTTTGGACTATAAACGCAATTGAAACTACTCTAGTAATCGCGAATTAAATTGACAAGCAATTTTTAATAATTTGATGCTACAATAAATCATATTATAAAGATGTTAATATGTTGAAAACTATTAATAAAAAATATGGTATATATGCAAGTACATATATAATATAAATTAGTAATTCAAGATTGAATTATTTAAAAGCAATGAAGATCCAACTTCGACCGTAATAGGCATTTGTAAATTTCTAGTATTGCTATTATATGTTTAAACGAAAATACATTTACAGGTATATTTAGCATATCTATCTATGAAAAACGTCTTTTTGAATATTTTCATGTTTTTATAATAAACGTTTATTTCTTTATTATCAGTTTAAAAAAATCAGAAATTTTTTGGGGTGTAAAAAAAACGTTTGAGTGTAGTAAAAACGGAAAAAATACGTATATAAAATAACATTAAAACAGTGTATTTGGACAAATGTTTCTGATAAATTAATATGCTAATTCAACGAGTAAATCTTTACGTCGGCTTATATATATAACGGCTTTAAAGTGTTGCACTTTAAAATGTTAAACTATAAGAAAATGCAAAAAAAATCGATTTTTAATTTTATGAAAAAACAAGTTAAAATATTCGACAAGATTTTCATAGAAGGTTAAATATACGTGTAAATATTATATATTCTCATTTAAATATGTAATACCAGGTCCTGATTTAAAATACTAAAATAATAAAATATATTCAGAAAAACGTTTTTAATAAATGGATATACTAATTATACGTATAAATGTTTACAAGTAAACGTTTTTCTGAAAATGAATATAAACAGATAAACATTTCATGTTTACACATATCATAAAACGGAATAAAATCAGAGTTCTACTCTTCTGCAGGATCTATGATTTATGGATCTGAAGAGTTATGCGAAACGTATAGATTTATTATTAAGCCAACACAAATTACCAAAACAAATTGATTGTGAGTAAGAACACACTGTGAGAAATTTATAATATAAGTGAATCTCAAAACGCTTATATTCAGTAACTGCGCATCATTTTGCAATTGTTAAACAAAAATTAAAAAATTGCGAGTGTGTACTGAATTGAGAAGCACAAGACGGGGAAATAAAACGAAAATGTTGTTTCTCAAACTTCCCTTAAAGAAAAACTGACAAACATGTCGACGATTTCAATTTTGATATTTTCGGAGGTTGTATTTGGAATGGAAAAAAACAGCGAATGTCCTAGATATTGTAGATATTACTGGCTTTTGAATCGGACTGATTCGAGAGATAGTAATACCTGTAGTATCTAGAGGCGAACTAGGTAGATTTCGGAATATTGCTTATAAAGAAATTGTGAAGTCGCTTTGTTTGTATGTAATAACGTAAAAGGTCGACAGACATACATGGCTGGAAAGTTCGTCAAATTAATAAATATATTAGGTGTTGGAATTAATTCGTAGCGTTTTTAATGAAAGAATGTTATTTATTTCACATGAGCATTAAAAAATACATTAATGAAAGTACTTCCCATCACTTGTAAAACGCTACGAATTAATTCCAACACCTAATATATTTCTTCCAAATTCTTTCAATCCCACTTGCAATTTTCTTTGTTCTTTTTCAAGTACAATTTATCCTTATCGAACGACAACACAACTTGAGATGAAATGGTTACGTTGCCCGCGACTTCAAATACGATGCTTTATTTCGCATTGATATATTAAAGAAAGATCTGGTTTCATTAATTGTAAATCTGCTAGATTCAACCAGTATGTTTATTTGAATCAAAATTCTTGTAAGAATTACCAGAAGATCATTTTTTAATGAAATCTAATACTATTTGCTATCTCTTGTAAAAACCATAGAGCAATCCTTATGGTATTACATTTTGAATTTTTAAAGATACATACTTTAATAACCTTAGTTTGTCTTTTATGTTTTATTAGTTAACATCAATAAAATGTGCAGCGTTGTTGCAAATACATAAAAAACAACTGACACTTGGAAAATAAATGCTCAGGATTGGCAAGTAACGCGTTATTTGTAACGTCGTTACCGTTACAAGTTACTTTTTTCGGTAACGAATGTATAACGACGTTACATTTTCTTCTGAGTAATGTTCATGGTAACGCAATTACATTTTTGGGATAACGGTAACGATTTCACTAATTACTTTCATCATTACTTTATTTCTAACTACATAAAAGTTTAGTCGTAATTAAAGAAAAGCCCTAGAAAACAGAAATGAAACATTAACGGTCTGATTAGTTGTCACGACGCCTTTTTTTCATTCACAATTTACACGTATAGACTAATTCAGATATAATTTTTACAGTAATATATTAAATATATATATACAGTATATTTAATTTCTTAAAATAAAACTTTTTCTGTGTCATATCTTACAAATTAAATATATGTATATAATGCAGATTACAAACAATATTATTTTTTTATTATAATATAATTTTACCCTTAGAGTATTCATGATGAGTTATTCGTATCTTGTTTCTCTTCTTCGAAATACTGCACCTGGCTAAATAATTCTTTCTACCCTTTCTTTTTTTTTAAATATGTAACTTCATAAATGTTTTTTAAAGATATTAGAATATATATATAAGAATATTATGTGATATGAGCAGCATCTATTTCATTCATAAAATAACGCACAATGTTTATTATGGGCATATATTTTTTGAGTTCTATTCCTCTAATAAAAAATAAAATTTTCACATCATTTTTACATTTACCGAAAAAAATCTGCACATAATATTTTATTAGTGTTAAGAAAAAAATAATATTTATAAAAAATTATATAATAATATTTTATTAGTGTTAAGAAAAAAAAGTAACGAAAAAGTAACGATTCGTTATATTTTGAGTAACGATAGCGGTAACGAGTTACTTTTCTAAATTAATAGCGAGTAAGGAGAATGAGTTATTTTTTAGGAAAAAGAACGGTAACGGTAACAAATTATTTTTATGAGGTAACGTTACCAACCCTGCGTCTTCAAGCCCAATAATTTTGGGAATGGTAAAGAATGCACTAGCAGTTTTTTTTTTTGTAAGAGATTTAGTACTGAAGAATACTGAAACTTTTATTTATATTCAATATTGCCCGAATGCAGTAGATACACAACATCACACACTACATAATTCACA